TAGCAGACATTCTCACCAAAGGGCTTCCTAGGGCGCAATATGAGAACTTAGTTAGCAAGCTTGCCATGAGTGATATATTCATGCCAGCTTGAGGGGGAGTGTTGGAAGATTTCTGTAATTATGTATTATATTTGATTATGTGCTATTTTAGGTAGTTGAGAGATTTGTGAGCTGTACAGATTTTTAGGAATCAGTTTTATCTTTCCTTTAATTAGGGAGATTTGTTACCTTGTTTGTATCCTAGAGAGAGCTATAAATTTCAATGTACAGAAGCATAAATTGTCATCCCATTCTTCATATCTTTCTGTCTCTTCTTTAATAAAACAGTTGTAAGGCCAGCTATGTTGTATGGAGTAGAATGTTGGGTAGTTAAGAAACAAAATGTCCAAAAAAATGAGTGTGGCAGAAATGCATATGCTGAGATGAATGAATGGTAAAACTAACAAGGATATATTATAAATGAAGTCATTCAAAAGAACCTAAGAGTAGATCCAATAGGTGATAAAATGAGAGAAGGTAGACTAAGATGGTTTGGTCATGTGCACAGAAGACCACCACACCCATAAGAAGAAATGATTCATTGCAAGTTGAAGGGGCTAGAAGGGCTAGGGGTAGAACAAAAAGGACTTGGATCGGAGTACTTAGAAATTATTTAAGTGCTCATAATTTAACAATGGAGATGGTATTAAACAGAATGGCAAAGCAGGATTCATGTTGCCAACCCCATGTAGCTGGGATAAAGCTTGGATGATGATGATTTTTAGTATTTTATAGGATATTCATATTTATATTGTTGAGTTTATATTACTTTAATAACATTCCAGATTTTGGCCAAAACAAATCTGCTCAATATATTTCATATTTTGTGCTGGTGGGTTTGTTTGAAATTAAGAAGATTTCATGATTAGATTACCATGGTTACCACTGACAAAATGGACTATTGGCTATTCTGTATATTCAAGATTTGCAAGGTATAAGGTTATTCTTTACTCTTTACTCTGTACTTTCCTTACAGTTTGTGTCTCTTTTTAATAGGAACACGTGGTGCATTTTGTGGTCAGGCTTCTATCTCCTCCAATACCTCCCAATTTTAGTGGACCTGGGAGTCATTTAATAGATTATATGTCAATGCTGAATGCTATCCTTTTTGGGGTGTCTTCTAGTGATACTATCCATATTCTCTCTTTGCATGGTTTGGTAAGTGAAGTTATGCTTCAGTTCCATCATCTGTGGGGTTATATTATTATTGTTCTGCATTTATGCTTTTCTTGTGCTTTCCTAAAAAGATAAGTAACATCTTTTTTGATGGTTCTAAAAAGGAAAACAAATATTTACTCCTCAACAGTAAAGTAACTTATACTTAATAGTTGCGATGAGGCTTACTTTAGTTGAATACTATCTCCACAATACCACACTGCTGCTAGTATAGCTTGACTTCATCTGCTGGCTCGGGTCAAATTTTCTTTTGTCATACTGGGATTGATTCCCTAAGAAGGATGCTGTAAAAGCAAATGAGTGGGGTGACTAGCAATGGGTTAATCAGATACCTGAGGGTTCTTGGCACAGATTTGCATCTAATGATCTACATGGTCCTTTTATTCATGTTTATGAAATTTTAGCTGTTACTGATAAAAAAAATTGCATTGTCTAAGGCATTTTTTTCATATTACAAAGGAATTGCAATTGTTGCAAGTATTTCATGTTCATGGGACTACTAGAAGCCCTTGACTTAGTTCTTCTTTCTGATACTATCATACTAGTTATATGCTATTGGCATGATTTGATAGCATTTTTGCATGCTTTTATGCTTTCTTATACAAATACCTAGCATATGGGCTCTTTGGTAGCATTCTTTATCTTTATTAGCCCTCAAGTTGTTCTCCAGGAAGGTTTGCTTGGGAGTGGAAGACTTGATCCATCCAGTCCTTGTTTTGTATGATTTGAATACTGAAAAGCTTATGGCTAGAAGTTTGTGAATTTGGTAACTAACCACAGCCATTTGATTTGTGAGGTCCAACCATTCCAATATGACTGACTTGAGAAGGTTGCAACTTGTGTTTGGTTATAGATTTCTCTAGGTTAGGTTATCAATAAGGGAAAAAAAGGAATGCTCCATTTTTATGAAGTATGCTATAGGTACTTGACCAAAGAAGAACTTCTTGTTTTGTTTTATGTTTTCAAAATTTTCATCTTTTTGTATTTATGTCAAAGTCCAGCCTCAGAATCTGAAGCTTATATACTTGAGAGATGTTACTTTAAACTATTCTATTGCTGCAGGTCCCAGAAGTTGCAGCTTCATTAATGCCACTTTGTGAAGCTTTTGGATCACTTGTACCCACATCATGTCAGAAATCAAGTACCGGTGATGAGATTTCAGCTTATACAACCTTTTCCTGTGCATTTCTCCTTCTTCTTCGGTTGTGGAAATTCTATAGACCCCCTCATGAGCACTGTATTACGGAACATGGTGGAACAACTGGATCCGAGCTTACTCTGGAGTATCTTTTATTACTGCGCAACAGTCGCATTGCACCACATAATTCTAAGCCCCTGGACAACACTAAGAAAGTTTCTAATCTGCCTGAACCATCATCTGCTTATCCCATTTACATTGACTTCTACCCAAAACTGCGATCCTGGTATTGTCAAAACAAAGCTTGTATAGCCTCAACTCTCTCTGGCCTCTGTAGTGGTAGTCCAGTTCACCAAATTGCCAATAAGGTTTTAAGTATGATTTGCCGGAAAATGACTAAAGGTGGAACTGTGTCCGGCAATGCTTCAACACCCTCAAGCAACAGTGCGAGTGGATCCCCTGTAAGTGCTGGAGAAGATGCTTACCAGAGACCAATGCTCCCTGCATGGGATATTTTGGAAGCTACACCTTTTGTTCTTGAGGCAGTATTAACTGCCTGTGCCCATGGGAGGCTTTCATCACGAGACTTGACAACAGGTTAGTCCAAGGGTGTTGGGCTTATGGCTGCACTTTTCCTTCCTGGTTGGTTTTTCCATTTTTGTTCTCTTTCTTTTTTTCTGATGGCTGCTAGGTTCTTGTTTATCCTATTCATCTACCATTTTTTCATGAAATTAGTATGCTAAATATGTATAGATGCATAAGGAATAAACCTTACAAAATATTGGAGAAAGTGCCAGCAAAGTATACAATTTTTTCAATAATACTTTGTATTTATATGCTCTAAAGAATTTGAATGCCTTGCAGGCCTGAGTGACCTTGTGGATTTCCTGCCAGCTTCTCTTGCAGCTATTGTTACTTACTTCTCTGCTGAAATTACTCGTGGTATTTGGAAACTTGTTTCAATGAATGGAATAGAATGGCCTAGTCCAGCAGCAAATCTTCTTTCAATTGAATCTGAAATAAAAGAAATACTTGCTGCTGCTGGCATTAATGCTCCTAACTGTTATACAGGTACATAAACCACCTCTTCCCTTCTTTATTATTATTATTATTATTTTTTTTTGATAATTGACTTCTTCCCTTCTTTATTTTATTTAACAAACTAAAGAATGACCCCATACTAAGTATGGGGCAATTACACCTATATATCAGTTTCGAGATTCACTATTTAGATGGTATATTTGATTTGAATTTCTTATTTAATTTAAAAATTAAATCAGGTTTAATTTGTCATTGACAATCTATTTCATCTAAAAGCTGGGACCTGCACAATTGAAAGTCTTTATAATGAGTCTTATTATAAATACTCATTATAAATAAGTTAAATTATTATTGATAAAAAAATAAATAAGATAATTTATGTTTATGTTTGTCACCTTTCTTCTCTGGGTGCTGCCTTATTACCCTCTCGGTTTGTACTTTTTCTCTTTCTTTTAATGGAACACTAATTGGGGCTAAGTGTCACTACCCCTGTAAGTATTCGATGGCTATTTGTAATTTGTCCTAATATTAAATTAATGGTAGTTAAGATTTTAATTAATAACTCTTGGACACATCTTTGTTTAGATTATTATAAATTTAGTAAAATATAGTAATAAGCTAACTTATTTTCAAACTAACCTATTTAAATTATCATAATTTATTCATTTAATAAATCATCTAATTAATTATGTTAACTTAATAAATGTACTAATATTGTTCACTTAGTTTAGAATAAATTAATTGAACAATATTTAATTAATTAATAGTTAACTTGTAATTTATAATACTTCTAAATTCTTGTGATTTGATTTATTTAAGTTTTAATTATTACTTATTTATTTAACTCTTATATAATAATAATTATTTAATACTTAATTATGGATATTTACTTTTTTAGAATAGTTAGTATTTTCTACTGTATGTTTCACAAGGGCAGCAATTTCTTTTTGCCTTTTTATTATTATCACCTTATATATACTAATAAAATCTGGCACCGCCAGAACTGTTGCTGCTCTCAAATCTTTCTCCTCTCTTCTCCCTTCTCTCTTCTCTCTTCTTCCTCCATATTTCTGCTCTATTTTACTGCTAGTATGGTATAAGAGTAAAACTACTGGACCTGAGAGCAGGTTGATCAGATTTTTTTTCTCCTCCTTGCTGTGTTCTCCAGATTGGGATCAAGGGAAACACCTGTGACTCAGACCTGAAAACAACCCTTTTTTTTGTGGGGGGGGGGGGGGGGGGGGAGGGGAAGAGCTGGTTTGTGTCCAGACTGTAGAGTGTGTATGTGTCTGTGTCAGAAGTGATCCTTGGGTGTGTGTTTAGAGCTAAGCCGTGAATTGGATCATGTCCTCTAAAGACTTTGCAACTTTTGGTGTTTGTGTAGGTCAAAATAGAATGAGTGGGGGGCTGGAGCCTGGATATGAATTTCCCTATGGCTGTAATCCCCTTTGATGGACTTAATTACCTTGAGTGGTCTAGGGGAATTAAACTCTACATTACTTTTAGGGGAAAATAGGCTATATCAATGGTAAAGTGAAGGAACCAAAGACTGTAGGTTCTGAACATGACAAATGGGATTAAGAGCAGAGGCACCTATAGGAACATTTATATAGGCTGAAACAGCTTGTGAAATATAGGAACAAGCAAAGTCTACCTATTCAGAGTAGAGGCACTATGAAAAGATATACCAATTACAAGCTGAATCATCCACTTGTAAGTAGGGGGGGAGGAGTCTCTCAGTATATTACTCAGATCTGACATCAATCTGGAAACAGTTGGATCATTATCAAAGTGTGAATTGAAAATGTGATGAAGATGCAAAAGCTTACAAGCCCTTGTCTCCCAGCAATGAGTATTTGCTTTTCTCTTAGAAATGAATCCTATATATGAGTCTATCAGAGTACAAATCTTGGGAAGTAAGGACTTACCTTTAGTCCAGGAGGTCCATGCCTTAGTCTGATTTGAAGAGAGCAGAAGAAGTGTGATGAATTGTTTAGAGGGGGAGCCAGTTGTCCTAGTAGTCAAAGGAGGTACAGGTGGGAATGGAGGGGGTTCTTTTAAGATGGGTGACTTCCAAAAGGGGTGGAAGACAAAGATAAACTTTGGTAGGTGCACTCATTGTCAACGGTCCAGGCACACTAGAGACACATGTTGGGATCTCCATGGAAAGCCTAAGTGGGCTAAGGAATTAAGTAAAAAATCAGCATCTGATCAAACAAAGAAGTCGGTTCAGCACAATCAAAAGAAATATAACTCAACAAATGTGGCCTCTCAAGAGACTTGTCTCACAGTATCTTAGGAACATCCCTCTAGTTCTGATTTCAAGGAAGATATTATCAACTGTTTTTGTGGGCATTTCGAGTTATATAGTAGGACACTTCGTCAGGTGGATTCAAGCCCTACTCCTACCTTTTTTGCATCTACATTAGGTAACTCTACCATTGCCTTCCATGTGTCATTTCATACATCTGAATCTTCCTAGATAATTGACTACCCTCTCTAATGTATTGTATGGTCCAAAATTGCCTATTAATTTACTTTCCATCAACAACATTATTCATTCTTTGAATTGCTCAGTAACCTTTTTCCCTTCTTGTGTGTTCCAAGATTTGACCTCCAGAGGATGACTGGTAGAGGAAGTATGGTGGATGGTCTCTACGTGTTAGAGAATAAAGCCAGTCTTGTGGCTACAAAGTCTTTAAGTTCATCTAGTGAGAGTCAAGCCTACTTATGTCACAGTCATCTTGGTCGTCTTTCTTTTAAGTCGTTAAAGGTTGTGTTTCCAGAATTATTTAAGTCTTTGTCATTAAATGAGTTGGAGTGTAAGATGTGTCAATTGAGCAAACATTATAGCAGTTCTTTTCCTTTAAGAATTAAAAGATCCAAATTTCCCTTTTCACATTGTTTATTCTGATATTCGGGGCTCTGTTACTCTACCTTTTGAAATTGGCTATTAGTATTTCATTACATTGACTGATGACTACTGTAGATATACCTAGATTTATCCCATGTGATCTAGAGATGAAGTGCTGAAGCTTGTGAAAGATTTCCAACGCATGGGTTTTACTCAATTCCAGACTGAGATTCATATTTTTCCAGTCAGACAACGCAAAGGAGTATTTTCACAGTGATCTCTAGGGGTGGCCACAATTTGAGCTTTTCACGAGATATTCGAGCTCAGCTCATGAAAAGCTCAATTCAGCTCGGTTTAAATCAAGTTTCGAGCCCAATATATAGGCTCGTTTGCTAATCGAGCCAAGCTCGAACCCAATAAAGTTTAGCTCGTGAGGTTCGCGGGCCTAATTGAGCTTTTATATATATAATAATAACTAGTTTTTAGAATTCTTAGTTTTTATATGTCAAATAAAAAATAATTTTTTATTTTTATAAAGCGTTTGGCTCACAAGTGAGTTCAAGCTCGAGCCAAACTCAAACTTATGAGCTTTTAACTCGAGCCGAATTTGAGCTCAAGTCTCTAGCTCGAATTGAGTTTGAGCCTCAGTTTATTGGTGAGCTGAGCTCAAATAGCCAGATATTCGGCTCGGCTCGAATCCACCCTTTGTATCTCACGGAGTTCTTTGCTTCGTGTGGATCTCTTCACCAAAGTTCTTGTGTTAAAACACCTCAAAAAAAACGGTGTTGTTGACTGTTATGGTCATTAAATTAAACTTGTAGTGTTTTTTCACTTATTTTAATTTAATACAATAAAAGTTTCATCAATCAAAGAAAAAGCAAAACGGTGTTGTCTTTGGATGTCGTTGCTTCGTTCATGACTTATCTCTTACTCGTGGTAGCTTGACCCTCGTGATCTCCCTTGTGTCTTTCTAGGTTTCCCTTTCTCTCAAAAGAGCTACCAATGCTTTAGTCCTACTTCCTGCAAGTACTATATCTCCATGGATGTATCTTTTTTTTTTTAGAGTAAACCATTCTTCCCTATTTCTCCTCAGGGGGAGAGTAGGGTTGAGGAGAAACACACTCAGGTTCAGCTTCCTTCTCTTCCTTATTCTCCTCCATTCCGTGTTTTTCTCCGTTACCGCAAGGGTTGGTAGGGTTCAAGAGCCGTGAAGCCTAAAACTATGCTACCAGCATCATCAAATTCTCTAGAGGCAGATCCTCCTTAGCTAGGTACTTTTGTTCCTATTGATATGTCTGACCCTCTTGATATTGATCACCCTACTATTTGATGATCTTGATGTTCATATTACTAAGAGAAAGGGTGTTAGATCTTGTATTACTAATAATCCTATCTCTCACTTTGTTTTCTATGATTATATTTCACCTTCATATCGTGTTTTTCTTACCTCCATTGACAGCATTTCTATTCCTAAGAATGTGACATAAGCTTTATCCATACCTGAATGGACAAATGTAATGAAGGAAAAAATTAATGCCAGATTGGTGGGTAAGTGGGTATTCACAGTGAAGCATAGGGTTGATGGTACAATAGAAAGATACAAAGCCAGATTGGTGGCAAAAGGGTTTACACGAGTGTATGGAGTGGACTTTGTGGAGACCTTCGCCCTAGTAGCCAAGATGAACTCTATCAGAATCCTCCTTTCGCTGGTAGCTAATCTTGATTGGAGTCTTCACCAATTGAACATCAAAAATTCATTCTTGAATGGTGATCTAGAGGAGGAGGTGTACATGACTCAACCTCCCAGTTTTTGTGTCAAAGGTAGTGAGCAGAAGGTGTGCAGGTTAAAAAAAATCATTATATGGGTTGAAGTAGTCACCTCGGGCCTGGTTCGGTAGGTTTCACTTGGCTGTATAACAGATGGGGTTTAAACAATGTCAATGAGATCATACATTGTTTGCAAAGAAGGCGAAGGAAAAAATGTATCTTTAATAGTATATTGTTGATGACATAGTGGTCACAGGGGATTGGAAAATTGAAATACTGAAGTTGTAGGAATTCTTATCCACTCAGTTTGAGGTGAAAGATCTAAGTCCCTTACAATATTTCCTTGGGATTGAAGTTGCTTGCTCTCAAAAGGGCATCTTTATTTCTCAAAGGAAATATGTCCTAGATC